ATCTTGCTTTGCATCTACTGGCGGGACTGCCAGAAGAGGTAATGTGTCCAGAGGTAACCTCATCCAAAGACCACATTCAAAGACAATCATCCTCCTGCGCTGGCTCAGCTCTGGCTTTGTGACTGAGCCGGAGCCGTGGGCTAGCTGCCCCTCCACTCTGTCTGTTTACAGCATGAGAATATGAAGCCCCTGACTTTCACGGTGATCCCCTGGCCCTGAGGAGTCAACAAGTCCATCAACTTAGCAAAGCATTTTAGTACTTCCTGGAGAAGTCAATGTTGGCTCTTAGCATCTCCTGCCCCGCTTCCTCCAGCACTCTCCAATTAAATGAGTCCAACAGCTCTTAATTCCTTTGGGGAGTGGGGTGATAAATATATAAATCAATCACTTGAAGAATGCCAATAGTCTTGGGGGAGAGCCTGGTTCAGATATGCTATTGACCCAATAGCATATAAATAGAGTATTTGCACTGAATGCTATCATTAGACTCTGCAAGTTCACCACTGAAGGGACTCCACACGAGAACAAGTTATTCCCTGCAGCATTTCACATAACAGCAAGAGACTGGATGCAACTTTAATTCCCTTCCAGAAAGAACTGGTTAAGTAGAGTAGGCCATTAAGATGTGAGCGCTTAGCCCGGCTGGTGTGGCTCAGCGCTTGAACATTGACCTATGAACCAGGAGGTCACGGTTCAATTCCCAGTCAGAGCACATGCCTGGGTTGCAGGCTTGATCCCCGGTTGGGGGCATGCAGGAGGCAGCCAATCATTGATTCTCTCTCCCTCTCTGAAATCAATAAAAATATATATTTTAAAAAAGATGTGTGTACATGTTCCTCTGCGCGAGCATGTGTGTGTGTGTGTGTGTGTGTGTGTGTGTGTGTGTGTGTGTTGGCACACACATACACACATCTCTGAATGGAAGAATTACCAATACACTGGTGACAGTGGTGGCCTCGGAGGGGAGGACCTGAGGGCCAGAAGACTCAAGAAGAAACTTTTCACTGTAAAGCCTTTTGTATCTTTTGCATTTTGAACCATGTGTATTATTTATACTCAAAAATATTTAAGAGAACCAGAGGAAAAAATGATGCATCCCTGTGGGTCACAGCTGTGGGCTGGTTTGGGAGTAATCACCAAATGAAATGAGTGTGACACTGGGGGGTCTAGTGAGGCTGGCAGCAGAGGAGGCATCCAGCTTGGGTCCCTCTGGCCAAGGGTGGCAGGATGGGATGTGACTCTCATGGCCCATGGCATACCAGAGCTGCAAATGCTTGAGGGCAAGTTGATCAGGCAGGGAACATAGATAACTCTAGAAAATCCAAAACCATTCTCCTAGGACCACCCTTACCCTATTTCAAATCTGTACTTGAGGCAGCATAGGGGCCAGGATCCCGGTCAGCTCCCTGACGTCTAGCCCAGGCCTGTCACTCTGGCTGGGCGAGGCCTTCCATAGTCTACTTCCCTCTGAGCCTCTGTACAGAGCACAGTGACATGACTTACCCACGCAGGCAAACTTTTCATGGTCAATGAGCTATACATTTGTTTACACCATTGTAGTTCCTATTACACATCTAGAAATTACCCTGTGCTCTTAAATTTAGTAACTGAAATACTTCCAATTAACCTTGGCAGTTGCTAAAATTATCCATGAAGTGGGGCGGGGGGTAGGGGGGATGAAGAGCAAGCCAGGCAAGTGCGTGTGTGTGTGTGTGTGTGTGTGTGTGTGCGCATGTGTGTGTGTGTGTGTGTGTGTGTGTGTGTGTGAGCTCCTCCTTATGGCTCAGGCATGAGAGGGAGAACTCTGCAACCCTGGCATCACCACTACTTGCTGTCCTTCTGAGGTCCAACCTCAGTCCCCTGAGGGCCAAGCCTGGGCCCTCACCGGGAGAGGGGTCTATGGCTGCTCTCTCTACCACTGTCCCTCATACTGATCCAGCCCTTCACACCCCAGGCCCAGTGCTTGGGACACTGCCTGACACACAGTAGCCTCCCAGTATGACATTACCTCCAAAAAAACTAAAAATAAATGGATGATTGGTTTGGGCAAACAAAAATAGATCCGGAGATGGATGGTGGTGGTGGTGGTTACACAACAATGTGAATGTACTTAACACCATTGAACAGTATATTTAAAAATGGGCCGTGGCCAGTTTCTCAGTAGTTAGAGCATGGGCCTGTGGACAGAAGGGTCGCAGGTTTGATTCCCAGTCAAGAGCATGTATCTCAGCTGCAGGTTCCCCAGCCCCGGTAGGGGTGCTCGAGGGAGGCAACCAATCCATTTGTCTCTCTCACCTCAATGTTTCTCTTTCTCTCTCCCCCTCCTCCTTCCTTTCCACTCTCTCTAGTATAATCAATGGAGGAAAATACCCTTGGGTGAGGATTTTATATTTTTTTAAAAAAAGGTTAAAATGATAATTTTTAAAAATATATATTCTTATTGATTTCAGAGAGGAAGGGAGAGGGAGAGAGAGATATAAACATAATGATGAGAGAGACTCATTGATCAGCTGCCTCCCACACGTCCCACACGGGGGATCAAGCCCGAAACCCGGGCATGTGCTCTGACCGGGAATCAAACCGTGAACTCCTGGTTCATAGATCAACATTCAACCACTGAGCCATGGTGGCTGAGCTAAAATGGTAAATTTTATGTCATGTATATTTTACCACAATAAAAAAAAAATGGGTAAGGTCTAATCCCCTTATCAGATCTGTTCTCTAAATGGGAAAAGGGCCCCCATGCTCCTTCTGGGTCCTCCCCTCTCTTATGCCCCTTGTCAGCTGGTGTCGCCAAGCCCTTGGCTTTGAACACAACGGTACCCTCAGAATTCCCCGAAGCTGCTGACCTCCAGCCCAGGTGGCCCCGAGGCCCAGCAGTCTGCTCACCCGTCAAGTAGAGAGCCGAAAAGCTGAGTAGACCTCCACCCAATCCGCTCCTCCTTCTCTGGTCTCCCGGCCTCACAAAGAGTACCTTCCTCTAGATCAGTGGTTCTCAACCTTCCTAATGCCGCGACCCTTTAATACAATTCCTCATGGTGTGGTGACCCCCAACCATAAAATTATTTATCGTTGCTACTTCATAACTGTAATTTTGCTACTGTTATGAATCGTAATGTAAATATCTGATATGTAGGATGTATTTTCATTGTTACAAATTGAACATAATTAAAGCATAGTGATTAATCACAAAAACAATATGTAATTATATATGTTTTCCGATGGTCTTAGGCGACCCCTGTGAAAGGGTCGTTCGACCCCCAAAGGGGTCGTGACCCACAGGTTGAGAACCGCTGCTCTAGATGCTCAAGTCTCCCACCCAGGCGTGCTTCCCATCCTCCCCTCACCCCAACGCCCAGTCTCTCAGAGCACCTGAAGCATCCTGCTGCTCCTCTGAAGCACACCCGAGCCCATCCACTTCTGTCTTCCCCACCACCACCCTTCCTTTCTCGACAGGCTACTGCCTCCCTGCTCCACCCTTACCCTTCCAGCAATTTACCCTCCTCCCAGGGCCACAGCCAGCTTCACAAAAGGCAACTCAGATCATTACTGCCTGCCTCCAACCCTCCCAAACTCCTCAGTGCTCTGGGGGGTGATGCCCAAATTCCTCCCCCAGAGTCATAGAGCCTCAGGTATCTGCTTCTGGTCCACCCCCCCGCCACCCCCCCCCCGCCCCCACCTGTGCTGAAGAGCAGGTCCCTCACTCTCTGCTGGCCACACAGGCCTCTCTGAGTTCCTTGTCCAAGTCAGGCCTTTGCCCAGCTGTTTCTTCTGCCTGAACACTCCTCCTGAACTTTATGTAGCTGCTTTCTCTCATTCCCAGCTCAGCTTGTCATCTCCCCCAACAGGTCTTCTTACCCCTAACATCTAAAGAGGCCCTGGTCTGCCCTAGCTGATTTAGAGCATCGGCCTGCAGACTGGAAGGGTCCCGGGTTTGATTCTGGTCAAGGGCACATGCCCAGGTGGCAGGCATGATCCCCAGTAGGGGGCCTGCAGGAGGCAGCCGATCATTGATTCTCTCTCATCATTGATGTTCCT